CTGTGTGAGAGCTTTAATCTACCCTCCAATCTCCAAGGATGAGAGTCCAGACACTGTACTGTATAAATATTTAAGATGCTATGGAAATTTCTTAGTGGTGGATAAGGTGGACTCTTTTAATTAAGATAGCCCTTCTCCATGAAAGACAAACCTGTGGGGTTCAGTGACAAAGTCTGTGTTACTCAAATTTCCGTAGATCTCTCCACTTTATGAAAACAAATAGTCAATTAACAATCATAAATAGAAATTTCACCAGCTCACTGAGACTTCAGCTATCTATATACTGTTTTTGGAAGTGGGGTGTCTGTAGGGGAAGAATTCCCAGAAAGCATCTCTCACAAGCTTGTAAACAAAGCCAGGAGGTTCCAGACTTGTGTCCACCAATATTCTGGTTGTGTCTGCCTTGCCCATTTTATCTCATTAAGCTTTTTCTTCCCTTGTATTAAAGGTTTTTATTTTTTGTGTTTTCCCCTCCGGCTTTATTGAGATATAATTGACATACAACACTAATGTAAGCTTAAGGAGTACAGCATGATGATTTGATACATGTGAGTATGGCAAAACAATTACTCCAATAAGATTAGTTAACACATCCATCACTGCCCATAGTTACTATTTTTTAATCCTGTTAAGTTCTTTAATAGCCACTGCTGTATGATGAACAATCTGGACCTTAGTGGCTTAAGATGACAACCATCTGTTTCGCTCGTGCTTTTACTGCTTGGTTACCTAGGCTAGACTCAGCTGAACTCCTTCACAAAGCAGTGGTCAACTCTGGATCAGGTAGGGGGCTTTATAGATTTTGGCTGGGTCTTTCACATGTCTGGGGCCTTGGCTGGGACAGCTGGGTTGCCTTGGCTCTGGGTCATGAGATCTCTCACCTACCAGCAGGCTAGCTCAGGCTTACTCATAGGGCTAGAGTAATGTTCCAATGGAGAGAGAAGAATGCAAGGCTTCTTGAGGTCAGGCTCCGAAAAGGTACTGTTCAGCACCTGCCACATTCTATTGGCCGAAGCAATAGTGTCAACCCAGATTCAAGGTGGGGAAGTAGGTTCTCCTTTTTGTGGGAGGAACTGCAAAATGTTTGCAAGAAGGGGAATAATTGTGACTATTTTGGCAATTCATCTACTACTTTCTAGGTAATGTCAACATCCCAAGTTCTTGAAATGGAGAAGCTGAGTAGAAAGTAGGTCCCTGAAATGTTACTTAGCAAGAGGGTCCCCAAAGCATTGCTGCTTGGGCCCCAGAGTCTCCCTGCAGTTTATGAAATACTCAAATTGTAACATAGAACTTCTTCTATCTTCCTAGGATCCTGGTGTGTCCAGAGGGCCAAGTTGGGGGCAGAGGTGAGTGACAATTTCATCTTCCTTCTGTCAACTAAAACTTTGTTACCAGACCAAACCAAACATGGTTTCTTCTTTCCTTGGAATTAAAATGATCTCCCAGGAGGACTTTTTTTCCCCCTCTCAAGCAAAGCAAATAGATTTCCAGCCAGCCCACTGTGCTGTGCCAGACATGCCCAGGTATATTTGGGTCCCAGTGGCAGACCTTGCTTAGTCTTCATTATTTCTCTATAACTCGTTAGATATTCTATTGTAAATTCTCACCTCCTGGGTGGCACAGGGAAAAAAATGGGATCTGAGGCAATAATTCAAACAGTCTCTCTGGTCTCCTTCAAAACTTCCCACGTTTCTCCTGTGGTGGCATGTGAGATGATGCCTCTGGGTCTCCCCTGGGCCTCCAGAAAATCTGCTCTGGATCATCCCTTGAAAGCAGAATGCTGAGGGGTCATGGCTTCATTCCGAGTGTTCAGCTGCTGATGCCTGAGGCTCATGTACCTCATGGTCTGGGTGTTCCATGCTCCTTCAGAGCCCTGCAGTAGCCCCTGACCTCCTCAGTGATGTTAACCAATGTTCCCTCACCAATGTTCCCTCTGAGTCCCCCTTATGTCCTCCCATCAGCCCCTGACCTAGCCTCCAGGATCAACTTGCTCCTGTCCATGCTGGTTCTCAGAACAGATGATTTGCATGTTCTGTGTCACAACCCCTCAGCTCCCCTCTCACCCCAGCAGAGCTGTGGGGGACAGCTTCGTGCATGACGACTCATCCCACTCATCCCCGCAAGTGACAAAAGCAGTGGCTCCTGCTTTTCTGCCTTAGATATTTCCATGAGACCAAAGAAGTCCACACAACCAGGAAGTAAGAAGAAGTAAGCTTTCCTGGGAGTAATCCTCAACTGGTGGGAGATGAGGTATTTACTCAGATGAGGTATTTACTGAGGTAAATGCCCCAGTCCCCCGACCTTCAGAGAGGATAGTTCTGAGGCACATCTTATACAGTTCCTTAGAGGGGCCCCAGTTGTAGACCGCTTGTTAGCTTCTCTTGTCCCCCTGCCTTACTTCCCTGCTATCTGGGATCAACTCCAAGTAAGTAGCCTGCACCTGTCTTTATCTCAGGTTCTGTTTTTGAGAGAACTCAAACTAAGATAGGCTCTATAGGAAGCCTGGGACTCACAAGTTAGCTTTCTTCTAAGGCCTGTGGTCCTTGGGAGCAGGTGGAACTTTGGCATCTTGTCTGCTGGCACCACAGCAATTGTGGGTGGCTCCAGAAAGCTAAACCCAGGCCCTACCTCTGCATAACTCATAAGTAGTGTCTTTTTATATTGTTTGCATGTTTAAATGGTAATATTTTGAATATATTAGGTTAACTAAAATATATTATTAAAATTAATTTCACTAGGATTTTTAAAAAAATATTTTTTATGTAGTTAGACAGCTGTAATTGCACCTCGGCTTGCACTGTTTCTGTTGGAGAACAGGTTCTAGACAATGCTTACCTGCTGCTTCCCTGGAGTCATGTAGTTCATAGGCCAGTCCCCAGGAGTGGATGGTGGCAAGAAAACATGGTTTGAAGGTGGACTTTCATGTATCAGTTTAATATTTGCAAAGTATTAAACCTGTTACAGATGTATTGTCCCTGCACCCCCTGGAAGGATAAGAACCCTTTCCTTTCTCTTCTGCGGCTTCCATATGGGGAAATTGATGAAAAGAAAGATGTTTTCTGGTGTCTTGAACTAATCAATCAATTTATTCACCAAGACAAAAAATATAAGTAGAGGGGAATGGCTTATGTGTTTTTTAAAGATTTATTTTTTCTTGGGGGGGGGATGGTGCAGAGAGGGAGAGAGATAATCTCCAGCAGACTCTCCACTGAGCATGGAAGCCAAATGGGCTTGATCCCAGGACCCTGATTTCATGACTTCAGCCTAAACCAAAAGTCTGATGCTTTACTCACTGAGCCAACCAGGCACCCCAGGCCCGGATTGAGTTTTAAATCAGTCCTAAGGGCAGGGTCCCTGGCAGCCCAGTTTGTAAGTTGATTGGTCATAGGATGGTCACCTGACCTGAGCTGGGCCCAGGAGCTGCTCTTTTGGGAGACTGGCCCACAGACTTTAAGGGATTCCAGCTCCAACAGGCTACTGTCTTCAGTAGGAGAGCTCCAAGACCCAGCGATGGAAAAGGCCACCCTTTGTCATGTGTCTAGGGTGCAGGGAAGGCCATTCTAAGATGAAAGGGAAGAGCTGGCCTCTCAGAGAAGACTTCCTGGGTTACTGGAAGCTCTCCAGGCTCTGGATTTGCTTATTACTGAGCTCTCTCTGCAGTTCTGACCTCCAGGTCATAGAGAAACATCATGTCCTCAGAATACATTCCCCTGATGGTGTTCATGTTACCTGCAAAGGAGAGAAGCTTACCAATACAGACTAGTGGCTGAGGGGTGGGGGGAGAATATTAATGGGAGAGTTTTGTATTTATAGGTCAAGGGGAAAGTACAAGTAGATAATTTTTTTTTTCCTGCAGAAAATGCTGATCAGTGGCCTTCTTGTTCCAGGGTAGCTGACACAGTTTTCAGCACCACCCTACAGCTGCATTTTGGGTTCAAAGGCTTCTGTGGCTGGACTGGGAAGCACATCACCATTTATAACATTGTTTCTAAGGGAGACACATTCCAAGATCCAAACAATGAATTTAGTAAAGAATGTTTGGCTTTCAGGAGGGATGAGCAGAGCCGGCTGTACCCTGGGGGTTAGCTACCCATTAACCATTAGGCTCCCTTCCCTTTAGACAGGGAGACTCACACTGCAGGGTTGAGGCATGTGAGTGTGAGAGCGGGCGTGCTCGCTGGTGAGCTCACGGGTGTATGTGTGTGTGTGTGTGTGGGGGGGTGGTTATGATAAAAGGAAGGAAATAGATAAAGGGCCTGCACCTGGGATGCTCTAAGGCATCCTCTGCTCTGAGAGCCCCTAGAGTCCAAGGATGGATGCGAGAGAGGTGAGAAGTGGACAAAGAAACTTGGCCTCCTTCACTCACTGTCAAGTCTGCCCACCGGCCTGTCGAAGGGGGCTTGCTTGGGCCCTGCTCAGCTCAAACCCTTTTTGGAATAAGGCAGGGTGTTAGAAAATGAATCCCGCATCCTCTGCCGGGGGAATCCGGGGCGCTGGAGGTGGGCTCCGCGGGGCAGCGTGACTGTTCCCCGGGAGTGGCCGTCACAGCGCGGGCCGAGCTCAGGGGCTTGGGCCAAGACTCCATCCGGCTGGAAGAGGGCAGCGGCGAAGGGGGTGAGGGGATCCAGACCATCCTCCGTACCCCCTGCACTCCTACCCTCCCCTCGCCCCCCCTCGCCCCCCCCCGCCCCGTCATCCCCCCCTCCAGCCCGGAAGAGGCGCTGGCAGCCGAAGCCCCGACTCGCAGGAGGAGAAGAAGGGGACGCGCAGCCCCAGCATTGTCTGGGAGGGAGGGGAGAAGCTCCGCCTCCCAGGGGGAGGGGAGGGGGAAGGGAGGGAGGGGAGGAAGAAAGGCGAGGGAAGAGGGGCGGGGGAGAGATGGAGAGCTAGAGAAAGCGGGGAGAGACGCCGAGCGGACGCGGTAGGGGCGGATAAAGGCGGGGGGGGGGGAGAAGGGGAGGCGAGGAGGGCGGGGCGCCCGACCCCCACTCGCGCGGCCGCCGCCTGCGCTGCCCCGCTGGGTTCGAGCCGCGCCCGCCGCTGGCTGACCCGGGCGCGGGCTGGAGCACGCCCCCCGCCCCGCCGAGGCACCCCCGCTTTCCAACCCCGCGGGCGATGCCGCTGGCTCGGGACGCAGGCAAGGTTCGGGGCGCGGGGCGCGGGACGCGGGGCGCGGGGCGCAAGGTGCCGGGCGCGGCCGGTCTCTCTCCCCAGCCTCCCTCCCTCCAGCCTCGCCGAAAGTTTTCCCGCGGTGTCCCCGGCCCGGTCCAGGTCAGCGCCTCAGCCCTCGCCGGCCGCGGTCCCCCCCTCGTCTCCCGGCCGCGGGGGGTTCCCGGGCGTGCGGACCCCCCGCGGGCCGCGGAAGAGCCACCCCTGCGCTCCCGGCTTCTGGCCGGAGAAAGTTGTGCCTCCAAGCTGGTCTTCCCTCCGCGACCCCTGGGGGGTCCCTCCTGCCCTCCGCGCCCAGGGCGGCGACAGGAAGGCGCCCCCGCCCCATCCCTGGGGTTCCCGGGACTCCCCTGGCGAGCTGGGACCGGGTAGCAGGTGCAGGAATGGGAGGCCCGGACGGCTCTGGGGAGGGCCCGACCCCCGCCGGGTCCCCGACTCTCTGCCCTGCGGACGGTCCCCCAGGGGCGGGTTCCAGCCCCCGGCGCGGGCAGGAGGCGCGCGGGAGGCTCCTTCCGACCGGCGCGGGGGCGCGGGGGCGCCGGGTCCTCGTGGCACTTCCCCTCTGCTGTCTCCCCGCCCGCCCACGGAGCCAGTGCCTACAGAGCTGGCGCGAGGTCAGCTTTGCGTCCTCTCTCGCCCGAGGGGGCAGGCTCCAAGGGCGACCCAGCCACTTCTGCATTTTGGGGCTCCTGCTTTGCGTTCAGCTCTTAGGCTGGGAGAAGCCTGGGGACGGCACGGAGCGGCGCGGTGGCCCGACCGCGAGACCGAGGGCTCCATCTCACTGTGGGGCTCTGTGTCCTGGGCTGTTCACGGCTAATGCCACGCGGTGACAGCAGGAGCAGAGCGCTGCTGCTCAGTGCCGCGTGTACCTTATTCCCAGGTGTCCGGAATCCGGGTTCTCCCAGAGGACAGAGGCTGTGACTAGTGCTGGCCAGGTTTATAGTAAGTACTTGAACGTAATGAATGAAAGTTTGAATCAGTGAGCTGCCAAATAACAATTCATCCTGGAGTGGGACTCTGTTCCTGTCACAGTTGATCTGGGTACAATGGGAGGAAAGAATTAGAAACAATGATTCTTTTTAAACAGCTGGGATTCAGAGCCAGGGGCCTTCTTTCTAGAGCATTTGGAAGAGGAATCTGGAGTTGGATTTATTTTACTTATCAATCCACATTTATTTACTGAGAACTTTTTCTGCAGGTGGTCTGAGGAATTAAAGAAACTTCTCACGGCTAAGATGTATTGGTTGTTTGAGGAGAGGTGGTTTTGATTGTTGTTGTTTTTAGCTTGTCCCAGGGACTGAGTGTGGAGCCAGCCTGGGAGGTGCCCACTTGGGATCAGAGACCTCGGACTGGGGTGGTGAGTGTGGGCACCAGCTGTGCTTTCTCTGGAACTGGCAGCCTGATGCCTGTGAGCCGCTGCAGTCCCCAGGGCCTTCGCAGGCTAAAAGAGGGCCTCACATGGTGGCCGAGCTTGGAGAGGTGGGGTTGTTGGGGAAGGGTGGCAGGTGGTTCTTGCCCTGGCAGAAGAAGAGGAAGCCCGCCTGGGCATCTGGGAGTGCGGGCTGGCACAGTTGGGGATCCCCCGTGCTGGAGAGGCTGAGGGGTGAGTCCTGCCCCTCCTTCAGAAGACAGGAGAGCAGGGGTGGCGTATTGGGATGGGAGACAGGATAATCTAGCTGGGGTACTGTTGAGATATATCCCTTGCTCCTTGCCCTCATTTTTGTGCTGGTGAAATCCAGTTAGAATGAAGGGCATCTTCAGGGAGGGGCTGAAAGAAGGCCAGGTGACGGGGGCAGGGGATGGGCACTGAGGCATGCCCCTCTCCAGGGCAAGGGATGTGCCCTTTGCACCTGACTACAGGGCCAAGCCATATGCACCTGTGCCCTCTGCGGCAGCATCCCCCCCTTCCTGAGGGGCATCTCCTCCTGCCCCGTCCCCCGGGCTCCAGAACCCACCCCTCTGCATTTCTGCACAGCGTCTGACTGGGGCTGCAGGACCTCTCTCCAGTGTGTGCTTAGAGGTCAGCTAGCAGGGCAGTGCCCTACACCACTTTCTCAGTCCCCCAGTCCTTCCTATTCTCAGCTGTGCTGTCCTACCCGGGACCTTTCAGTCACCCACTAGTTTTGCTTTGATTTCTTGGTCTATTTCCTGGGGCGCCTGAGCCAAGCTTCGTGTCTGCCTTCTGTGCGTGAGCTGCTTAGGAATGGCCAAGAGACTTGGCTGGAGAGGTGCCCAGGACTGCACATCCTGGCACCTCCACTGGAGTGCCAATGGCTGTCCCAAAGCACAAAAGAACATTGGCCTGGGTATTGCCTTCAGTCCTCCCTACGATCCTGGGGCAGGAAGTGCCCTCACTGAGAGGTGGTTTACAGGCAGGACCAGATTGCCAGAAAATCCTGCTGAGAGGCCTGGGACTTGCCCATGTCCCCTCTCCCCCAGGCTGAGGAGCTGGGCAGGTCTCAGCAGAGTCCTTGGAACAGAGCAAGACGTCCAGTCTGTCTTTAAGACACAGCTGCTGAGAGCTGCTACCACTGCGTTTGTGAAGCTAGGGCAGTGGTCCCCTTCTGCCACTTCCTTGTTTCTCCCACCACTCTACTATACGGTCCAGCGATTTACCCTAATGACCTGCTGTCCTCTTTAAACACTTCCCTGCATCTCCAGAAGAATTTGAAATAAGTCCTTAAGGTGGGGTAAGCTCCTGCAGGCCTGTGATTGCTGGGTTTGTTTCTTTGGCCTGCTGTGGGTTCCCATGGAGGAGGTGTCTGGTGAGGATGAGGGGAGAGGAGAGGGCAGCAGGCACTGGGAAGCAGGGCACCGTAAACAGGGGCACCCTCCAGACTCGGCTGGCTGGGTGTCCAGTGGGTCATTTTTGATCATCCCTGGGGTGGCAGGCAGACTCTGGAGCCTGTAATCACAGGTTGATGCCGCTGCTTAGGATGACAGCTTGAGGCTGTAGCACTCTTCCCACCTCAGCTGTGGCTGAATCAGAGGGAAACCTTACCCCGAAGTAGGGGGCAGGGAAGCGCTCTTGGCTCGTTGCCGTTGGATGAGCAGAGTGACTTAGGAGGGCTTTTCCTATTCATTCCGTTGATAAAACTTGAAAAAAAGATACTTGTGCCGTCCTTGGACATCTCAACCCAAAGTGATTTGGCAGGGTGGGCTGACTTCACCAGCATGGTGCTTTCCCCATAGTTGACACTCAGCTAAGTGTTTGATTAACTGCTTGTTTCTAGAAGAGTAACGTAGAGTATTGGATAGAAGTGGGTATTACGATGGCTCATGAATGGCCGGTTATAATGCTTTGGAGAGAGGCTATCCTTAGCTAGGTGAGAAAACTGAGTTCACCTGCTCATGGCTTTCACATCTAGGCTGTGACTAGTGATAAATGTTGAACAACTGGCTCTACAGGGGTTGGGGGGGAAGCCCTGCTTTGTGATACTTATTGATTTCTATAGTGTAAATAGTCCCATCATGGCTGATTTCAAGCTACCAACATGGCACCATGAACACTGAGTCGGGAAGAGATGTGCTTAGTCAGCCCTTGTGAGCCAGTAAGAGCAGCTCCAGTAGGTAGCTGACCATGATTGAGCTGGGATGTGACGTCAGTGAGCTTAATTTCCAGATTTTGTAGACTGAGGAGGATAAGAACTGTATGAGGCATCTAAAATTTGGGGTACGTTGAAGCTCTGACCTTGAACAGCCAGCCTAATCACTGTGTGCGATGCTTCCGGGATTTATTTAGACACTATTGAAATGTTGATGCTACAGTCTTTTTGGGTCTCAGTTTTCCCATCTCCAAGGCAAGGGATTGAATGATTCCACTAGACCCTTCTAGCACTGAGTCTCTTTAGGAAGAGTCTACTGCATTCTTCTTACATCTACTCAGGAACAAGACTTTTAACAAAAGAAAGTCTTTCACATGTCCACACTTAAACATTGTCCACCACAGGGCACCCAGCCCTGGGCCATCCTGGAATTTTGCTGTAGTCTTTCCTGCTACTAAAAGGGAATTCAGTAGCTATTAGCCCAGCCACTTTCCGCCTTCTTTGTGTAGCGGTTTCTCTTCCTGACACAGGCCTGGTGTGTCCCCCGAGGAGGCCAGGGCAATGGGGAGGGAGGAACTGATTTCTTATGGAAGGGATGGCCCCTACTTCCCTGAACTGCGATGCTTTGTCACAGACACCCAGGTGAAAGCCAAGAAGAGCCCATGCGGAGAAAGAGACTTTAAAAAAAAAAAAGGTTTTATTTATTTATTCATGAGAGACACACAGAGAGAGGCAGAGACATAAGCAGGCTCCCTGTGGGGAGCCCGATGCGGGACTCCATCCCAGGACCCCAGGATCATGACCTGAGCTGAAGACAGACGCTCAACCACTGAGCCACCCAGCTGCCCCGAAAGAGGCTTTTATATGACAAAATTCAACATCCCCACTGTGATTTTACTCATAAGGGCTCTGTTGACAGTCCTCCCAGGGGAGTCCCTGACTCAGCAATTGCACTGGTAGGAAATCTTATCCTAAAGATATAATTGGACAAGTGCAGAAAAATATGTGCACAGGGATGTCCCTTGCAGTATTATTTGTAATAATAACAGCAACCAAAATGGAGGCTAAATCCCAACAAAAGCAAACTTGTTAATTATGGTACAGGTGTCCGTCAGTGTTCCAAAGTGGTTTGCCTTATGCTGCTTGGCTTTTATGAAAGACCTACGTTTGTACCTGTTTTGCTAACAGAAAGAAATCCGAAGAGGATTTTCATTTTTATGGAAAAAAAAAGGCAAAAAGCAAAAATAGTGTTCAGCATTTGTTTTGCAGTGAGCTCTTACAGAGGCCACACACACCCCAGGGCTGAGAGCGGGCCCCCCCCAAGCTCCTTCCCCGGGACCTACACTCAGCATCGCAGCATCCAGCTGCTACAACTGTGTCTGTGGGCATCTGTGCTTTATCTCAATTTATTTTGTGTATCCATTAGCAAGATGTATCCTGAGGTATCAGAAAAACCTAAGACACGTTAATTTTTGGGTTTGGGAACGCTCAAAAATTTTCCCATATAAATTAATGGTGATCGCTTCTTTGCTTTATGCCACTTGGGCTCATGAAAAGTTTCATAGGAACACTCCACTTTTGGGTGGCAGGGAAGGCCTGCTTATCTATACACTGGACTACCGTGGGGCTACAAAAAAATATAAGGTGGAGATGTGCATCTATTACCATGGAAAAACATGAAATTTCTCAAAATCAGGTTACCAAACTGTGCTATTTGTTTTTGTTTTTGTGTTTGGTTTAAGATTTTATTTATTTATTTATTTATTTATTTATTTATTTATTTATTCATTCATTCATTCATTCATTCATGAGAGACACAGAGACAAAGGCAGAGGGAGAAGCAGGCTCCCTGCAGGGAGCTGGATGTGGGACTTGATCTCAGGACCTCCAGGATCATGACCTGAGCCACAGGCAGACGTTCAACTATGGAACCACCCAGGTGCCCCTCTGTGGGGTCTCTTATAAGGGCACTAATCCCATTTGTGAAGGAGAGCCATCCTCATGAATCATGCCCAAAGACCCCACTTTCTAATGCCATCACATTTCAGGTTAGGATTTTAACATATGAATTTGGGGAGACACAATCATTCAGACCGCAGCAGTGACATTAAGTGTACCCACAGCGTTGTACAACCATCACCAGTACTGTCTCCAGGACTTTCCCATCATCCCACACAAAGACTATCCGTTAGACATTAACTTTCCATTCCTGACCCTCGAGCCTCTGGTAACCTCGATTCCACGTACTGTCTGTGTGAATATGCCTATTTTAGGTATCTCATAGAAGTGGAACCCTTCGATAACTGTCTTTTTTTTTTTGGAATAATCTTTTTACTTTTCTATATTTTTAAAATAAAAAAAATGTTTGTTTTACTTAGGTCATAAAAAGGAAAGAAA